AGGAGCTAAAAACTACTATTAGTAAAACAGACTAAAACCTAAAAATAGCAAAAACTAAAATTTGTAAAACAAATCTAAAATCAGCAGGAGAGTAGCTAAAAGCTATGTTTAGCTAGAGTAGATGAAAGCTAAAATAAGGACAATGGTAGCCAAAATTTCAAACTTCCAAAACAGAAGGTAGAAGTCAAAAATCAGACCGGTAACTAAAAGCTACAACCAGCAGAATAGTAGCTTAAAGCTAAAAGCACAAAACGTACCTAAAAGCTAAAATTTACTAAACTGTTGCTAAAAGCTAAAAATAATATAACAGCAGCTAAAAAAGCAACACCTGCAGAACAATAACTCATGGCTAAATTTAGCAAAACAGTAGCCTAAAGCCAAGGACCATCAAAACAGTAGCTAAAAGCTAAAACTTGTTTAAAAATTAAAATAAATAAAAATGTAGTAAAAATAAATATAAAGCAAGTATGATAAGTAGACAGTTTTTAGGGATTTGAACAGATCTCTATGTATTTCTATTAGTAAAAAAAATCAAAATAAAGTTAATTACAACAAAAATAATACAATTACAAGTTTAAAAATCACAGTCTTCTGAATTTTCTGAACAATTTAACACCTGAATGGCTGAAATAGCTGAAAGTACGCCAAGAGTTCCAACAACGTACTACAGTATGAGAGCTGACTCGGCGTTCGTTCAATTACTCCAGTGATACCGACAGAGAGGAATAAAACACCTGTCGTCTGCATGTTCACCTGTCAAAGATGCTGAAGTTGAATCGGAACCCGAGGCATCGGATCACGCGGTCGTAGGGTTTCCTCATGGGGAAGTTGTCGATGTGGTACCCAGGCAGTTCCTCTCGCGTCACATCGGAGTCGTTCCGGTCGTTCCGGTTTAGCGTGTACTTTTTAAAAGTTAGATAGAGTTTTCTCTTCTTCTCCTCCTTTCCACCTGATCTCCTCCTGCCCTGCTCCTTTCGCTCAGCTATAACTATTTTCTCCAGGCGCGCCTCCACCAGTCCATCGAGGGATTTCAGCTGGTATGTGTCTATAAGGTCATTATTGAGAGCTCTGAAAGGAAAGATTAAAGAACTGAAGTTTCTTTCTTCCTGCTTTGCTTTGTACAAAAACTTAAAATAAGTCCTGCGTTACCTGAGATCTCCGACGTAATGCGTCTGCCAGGCCAGTCGGACTGGACTCGAACTGAGCATGTGCACCAGACTCGCACTTCCTAAGATGCTTTGGGCTGTTTCAAAGGCAGAGTTCCCCTTCCCCAGAATGAGCACAGCCTGATCCCTGTAGTCCTCAGGGTTGGTGGAGATGGACTCATAGCCCTCAACAAGATCAGAGCCAATAAACTCAACCTTCTGAGGAACCCATAAACCCGTGGCCACCAGAAGGACGCTACAAGGAAGAGAACTGAGTTTTACCCCACTGCAACCCAGCGTTTTCATCTGAAGCTCAACGTGCCGTGACATACCTGCATGTGTACTCGGAAGAGTGTTGATCAGTGAGGATGTAGCTCCTGCCCGAGGCTGACTGCACGGACCTGATCCTCCCGATGTCCACCCCGTAGCGTACCCTCAGGTCCAGCTCCTTCACAAACATGGACAGGTAGAGGGGGAAGGCGTCTGCCGGAGGGTAAAACTCCTCACTCACTCTCCTGAACAGCAGGTCGGGTTTATCGCTCAGCAGAGAGTTCCAGTCGTGACGCAGGTTAAACTCTCGGTTCTGCCTCCCCGTGTGGATCTTATTAATGCTAATCAGCTTCCTGTGTCTGGGATACCTTCAGAAGCACAAACAAAAGGCAATACTTCATCAAATAATGCAGGACAACATACATTTTTAGTACTAATTCCTGCACAGATGTTTCTCACTTGTTGAAGAAGCTGCCCAGGCCTGAGTTCCTCTCCAAGATGATGTAGTCTCTTCTCGCCTTGGACAGAAAGAACCCCATCTGCAGACCCGCGGGTCCAGCCCCGAGCACACAGTAAGTGTAGCGCTGGGTACCATTGTGATCAATGGATGAAGTTACGACAGAGCCGAACAG